GTGACCTTAAATCACCCTTTATTACTCTCTTTCATATTCCATATTTAATTCATCAGCAGGTTCTGACAACATTCAGTTCAGTTCAGTTCAGTCGCTCGGTTGTGTCCGACTCCTTGTGACCCCATAGACTGCAGCACGCCAGGCTTCCCTGTACATCATCAACTTCCAGAACTTGCTCAAACTCTTGTCCATTGAGTCGATGATGCCATCCAACCATCTCATCCTTTGTCGACCCCTTCTCCTGCTTTCCATCTTTCCCAGCATCAGGGTCTTTTCCAATGAGTCAGTTCTTCACATCAGGTGACCAAAGTATTGAAGCTTCAGCTTCAGCATCAGTTCTTCCAATGAATATTCAGGACTGATTTCCTTTAGTATTGACTGGTTTGATCCCCTAGCAGTCCATGGGACTCTCAAGAGTCTTCTCCAACACCACAGTTCAAAAGCATCAATTCTTTGGCACTCGATAACATTACCTCCAAATATATTCCAAATTTGAGTATTTTTTCCTGTTTATCATCAAAATACTAGTCTAAGCCACTAACATTTTTTATCTAGTTGACTTTAAATTCCTTCTAACTTGTTTCCCTTCCTCCTCTCTTGATGCCACATAATCTACTCTTCACACAGCAGCTAGAGTGGTCTTTTTTAAAACAAACTTATATTTTAAAGGATTTTTAGGTTCATAGCAAAATTGAGCAAAAAGTACAGAAAGCTTCCATGTAGCCCTCTCCCCATTTTCACATAGCCTCCCCAACTGTTAACATCCCACACCACAGCTGTATGTTGGATGTATGTTTGTCACAACTGATGAACCTGCCCTGACACGGCATAGTCACGCAAAATCCAGTTTACATTAGTGTTCGCTCTTGTCATTGTAAGAGGACATAGCTTACATTAAGATTCACTTTTGATTTTGAAAATTATATGACATGTATCCACCATTATAGCATCTTACAGAATAGTTTCACTGCCCTAAAAATCCTCTGTGTTCCACTTATTCATCCTTTACTCTCCCAATCCTTGATGTTTCTGCAGTATCCATGATTTTACCTTTTACAGAATGCCATTAGTTGGAAGTATATAATATATAGCCTTTCCAAACTAGCTTCTTTCACTTATCAATGTGCATTTACGTTTTCTCCATGTCTCATCATGGCTTGATTGCTCATTTCTTTATGCTAAATAATATCTCATTTTCTGGAATTACCACAGTTTATTCATCCACTCACCTACTTGAAGGACAACTTGGTTGCTGCCAAGTTTTGGCAGTTATGAATAAAGCTGCTATAAACATCTGTGTGCAGGTTTTTGTGTGGACGTTAAGTTTTCAACTCATTTGGGTAAATACAAGAAACCAAGTTGCTGGATCATGTGGTAAAGTATGTATAGTTCTGTAAGAAACTACCAAACTGTTTTCCATACCATTTTGCATTCCCACCAGTAATGAATAAGAGTTCCTATTACTCTACACCCTCAGCAGCATTTGCTATTGTCAGTGTTGATTCAGATTTTGTTGTTTCAGATTTTGGCCATTCTAATTGGTGTAATGGTATCTTGTTATTGTTTTATAGAGTTGCCTTTTTAAATCTTAAATTTGATTGCATTGCTCCTCTTTTTAAAGCTTTCCAATGATTTCCCATTACAACTACTGTCAATTCCAAACTCCTTACAATGACCCACAACCCCCCGAATAATTTGGCCTTTACCCAGACAATCTGTTCTAGGAATGTTCCTGGGAGTGTGACTGTAGGAACACGTGATTGGTCTACATTTATGTCGTGCTGGTTGTGCTTAACATTTTGACTACCATCCACTTCTCCACCTCATCGTATACCAGTCTCTTCGTGGCCACTGTGCTCCAGCCAACCTGGTCCTCTTTCCTTCTTTGAACATGCCAGGCTCATTTTGGTGTTAGGGCTTTGCACGTGCCATTCCTTTTTCTTAAGGTGTTTTTTTTTGCCAAATCTGCCCATGACTACTTCCTTCTCATTGATTAGGTCCTGGCTTAAATATCAGAGAGGACTTTCCTAACTTCAGGCATTCCTGGATGAATCGATGGATAGATAGAGATGGATACTAAAAAGAATGAAAGAAAACTTGGTGTCTGCGGGCTAGAAGGCCACAATATCAAAGGAAGAAAAATTCGAGGAGTCAGTGGGAGTAGCCATTCCATGCCCCCGTCACAGAAAAAGGACAAAAACAGAAGATAGAGTGCAGGATAGAACAGGGCAAACCTTAGGGAGCTGGCCATATCAAATGAATTCACACAGGCTTTTGGAGGAGTCCAATGCCTACAATCACATTCCTAGGAACATGCAAAGCACAAGATCTTAATTACACACCAGCATATAGACTGAATGTTTGATGAATATACTTTGCAAATTCCTGGAGCCTTAGACAAGAGGCAATATGCCTAGGTTAGGGAGAGGCCAACTCTGAGCCTGCTGCCCTGCAGCTGTAATAACTCTCATCTGCATGTTAGCTACATCCAGTTAGTTCAGAAAATCCAGGCAGAAAGTAAAACGCAGCATCCACATTACCAGGAGCATCACAGATCAGCTGTGGGCTGGAGAGCAGCCAAGCCTATGCTATTTGATTTTTTTCATGTCTGCAATTCCTTTTTTGATGCTGTGGAAACTCAAAGCTTACTATTTTAACATTTATGACCAAAAATAATTGGCAACTTTACATCGCCTCTGTGATGACTTTTTTCTCAAACCATGTCTGATTAAGACATTGTTTAGGTCATGGTGTCTCAAACTGTGGGTCATGAACCATTAATTTGTCGTGAAATCAATTTAGATGGTTCACAACCAGCATATTTTTACCAAAATAGAAGGGAGTAGATGAGAATAGAAAATCAAAGTGTATCACATGTTGTAAGGATAAGTATTATTTCATTATTTCAAACATATGTTTCAGTTACACATAGAATGTACATCTCTACATACATATGTGTATAATGAGGTCCAATGCAAAATGTAGGGTCATGGCCAAAAAAGCAGAAGCTCTGCTCTAGGTTTCACTTAGCTATATAAATATGCTATGAATAATGTATAGATACATTTTAAAATAACTTCAGAATTCATGTAGAATTTATTCATGTCAATGTAGAGCTGTCAGAAATAGTAACCATCAAAGTAGTACACAACAGGTGTGGCGATCTGGAACATTCAGTATTAAGTCTGGGATCCTGACATTCCCGTTGGGCCAAGAGTCTAGAGAACTAGGTTCTGATTTCTTTTCTTTTACTCTCAGGAGAGCTTTAGGAAATTCCCCCTCTATTTTCTGTACCTCGGATTCCTTATCTCTCTCCAGCCTGAGAGACTTGGGTTATTTGCTTCCGAGAAACCCACCATGGAACTCATGGAGTCTACTAGAGATTGCATGAAATGCTCAAGAACTTCAAAATCAAATAAACCAGACTCAGATCCCAGCTGGCACCTACCAGTGGATAACACTGCCAGTTTCCTTAATCAGAAAAGGGTAATAATGATGCATCCTCAGTGAGCAGGTGGACTAGAGTTGTTCATGAAAAGCTCAAGGCATAGGAGAGGACCTTCATAACAATGGCCATGGTGATTACGATGCTCTACTCCGCCTCTCCATGTCCCTACCAATATCTGTGCACCTTTAACCATGGCCGAACAGCCTCTCCTCAATATCCCTCTAGTTTCACCTTAAAGGATCCCTTTTTTTTTTGTGGTGGGCGTTTCTCACAAATGCCCATCAGCTGCATTCCCAGTTTCCACGACCACAGTCTCTTCCCATCTCAGAAGCGTGCCCTCCTGTTCAAAGCCCTTGACTGCTTACAACTCAGCCCTCTTCTCCTTCCCCTCATCACCACTCTCTTCTCATGCTGCATTTTCTATTTCACAGCTTCTCCAGCCCTATGGGTGCCAGGGGCCATATCTGAACCCTAGATTAGTCCTAAGCCCACTAGAGAAGGTTACTCTTTACCCCACCAGCTAAATGCTACCCCAGTGCCTTCCTTTATGTCTGCCAATGCTGCATCAGAGGTAGGAGAAAATGCTCTAAAAACGCCCTCTAAAATATATTTACATGATGCATACTAGGTCACTTTAGTAGTGTCCAACTCTTTGCAACCCCATGAACTATAACCCACCAGGTTCCTCTGACCGTGGGATTCTCCAGGCAAGAATATTGGAGTGGGTTGCCATGCCATTCTCCAGACAATCTTCCCAATCCAGGGATGGAACTCACAGCTCCTGCAGTTCCTGCATTGCAGGTAGATTAGTTATTGCTGAGCCACCAGGGAAACACACACACACACACATATATATATATAAATGTATATATATAGCAAGTACACATGAAGCGAAATAATAAATTGTGAAATATGACCTAAGCCTTCATTTTTTTATCTATGACAGTATAAAAATCATGCAAGTTCCCTCAAACAGAAAAGAGAACTGTGTAGCAGTATCTCAGGCCATGTAACAATGGTGACCAGAGGGCATGAACACTTAATCCTTCTCTGCTCCTAACCACACCCCTCATCCCTCACCCCTCTGCCCCTCACTGGCCTGTGACATCTTCTCAGGGAGAGAGCTCCACGAGGTGTGGAGGGGCTTAGTACACTTGGATCCTCCCCGTGTTATCCAGCTTATCAGAGTTCTTCCAGAACCTTCTAAGCTGGCTCTCCCCAGCGACATGGTTGACAAGACCACCATGGCTCTCAGGGAAATGAGGCTGCGGAGTCACTGGGTCCTGGGCTCCTCCCTCCTCCCTCGGTCTTCTCAGTTACAGGCCCTGCACGACTGATGGGCCTCGGCATGGAGCTACAGCAGGCTGGATTCCTGAAAGGCCCACTGCATTCTGAGCTGCAGGGTGTGGAATCCTGCAGCCAGAACCTGGCTTGGGGGATGGGAGTGGGGGAGGAGGGTAGATCCTACTAATCCAGGTTCACTTTCCATCACAAACAGTCCCGGATTTCCTCTACTGTGCCAAGGCCCTGGCACACTGCTCTCTCCCTTTGGCTACACATCCCAGCTCTCCAGCCATGGTGCCTGCCTTGTGGATGCCAGGAGGCCCAAACTGAGAGTAGGATCTCCACCAGGCATGCCACAGCCTTGCCAGAGCCCAAAGTCCCCTGAGCCCCTGGCCGGTGGACCCCACTCTGTCCTAGAAAGGGGCATTGGGGGCAGTAGGGAGGAAGATGTGGAGCAGAGAACAAAGTGGTAAGCTAAAACCAGAAAGGAAAGATGGGCTGAAAAAAAAATTGTCTGGTAAGCAGGTAATGACCTGCTTGCAGGAAACATGGAGATGAATGGAAGTTGCATGTGGATGGAAGAGGGAAACTTCCTCTGGCCTCAGCCTTCAGAGGCAATAACTGAGCTGACAGAGAATCCTGATCTCGACTCTCAGCTGAGCAGTCCATCTGCTTTCTGGGGGGAACTGGACCAGTCCAGCAGGCAGGCTCCATCTGCCCCAAAGGCCTGGCCTTTTCTCTGCCCCTCGCCTGCCTACCTCCGCACAGAAGTTCCATCTCACTGAAACCTCTGGTGTGTGTGTGCTGTGCTCAGTCGTGTCCAACTCTTTGTGACCCCATGGAATGTAGCCCGCCCAGCTCCTTTGTCCAAGGGATTCTCCAGGCAAGAATACAGGAGTTGGTTGCCATTTCCTCCTCCAGGGGATCTTTCCAACCCAAGAATCGAACTCACGTCTCCTGTGTTTCCTGCCATGCAGGCAGATACTTTACAGCTGAGCTACCAGGGAAGCTCAGAACCCCTGGAAGGCAGGACAGATGGGTTTGTTGGATCAGCTACCATCCCTTAGCAAGAGCCCTGAGAGAAGGTCACAGCCCAGGGTGTTGCGGCGAGGGAGAGCAGATCCACGGGCTGCTGGTGGGGGCTACGGGCAGACTTGAAGCCTGTCTTCATGGATGGGAGACTCCAGAAAACAGTCAGAGACCCTGGGCACAAATCAATTCTACCTGGCAACTGTGCTTTTCGGCAGCTCTGTCTCAGAGAGTCCTGTCCCCAAAGGAACAAGGAAGGAACAAAGAAGAACAACAAAGAAGGAATGGAAGAAGGGAGGAAGGGCCTCCAGCTGCTGTGCTCCAGGCTAAACACAGTATCTCAGGGGGAAGCTCAGAGGCAGAGCTATGACGGCCAATCGGTCATCAGCACATAACTCCAGCGGAGGGAACAGCCAGCCTCTGACCTCCTCAGCTCTCAGCCACAGTGGATACCTCTGCACCAGCAGTCAGTCCTTCCAATGGGCAGCAATTGACCACACCATCATAGCCACCCATTGATTGATCCTAGTTCGATCTGCTGGAACCACAGGCAGAGGCAGTCACAAGATGGCCCCTGAGACAATGAAGATGCTTTTTGCAACCTCTGGATTCTCCAGGCTATACCCACCTGAGATCCTTCACCAACCTGGCCCTAGCCATGATTTCAGGAGACCTTACTATCCCACCAGACATATCTGAAAGAGTTCCCGAAGGGCACAGTCCCCCACTGCCGACCCCTACTCTGTCCCAAGTACAGGCTTGCTAGCTCCCCCCAACCAGACAAAGTGCTCACTCCACTAAATTTGCTTGGAGTGGGGGTGAGTGGATATTTTAGTGACTTCTTTCCTAAAAAGAACATTGATACTTACGATTCATGAAATAACTGCACACTTACAAACACATCGCCCTTGCAAAGAAGAGGAGATAAAACAAGAGATCATTACTGCCTGTCCCCAGAAAAGACACAGCAGGAGAGAAAAAAAAAAAGTTAAACAAATGTTTGTAAAAGCCAAATAAATGTTTGGGGCTGTTTCCTTCCCATTCACACCCAAGCCCTCTTGCTGATGGATGGGGGTTACAGGAACTCTCCCAGCTGGGGGTCAGTCCTCATTCAAACAGCTGCTGCCGCCAAAGCTGTCTTTGGACAGTGAAAAAGATAAATGACCCACCCCCACCCACAGATGACATCACCTAGGCAACCCCGAAACCAGGCGAGGAGCACAGGCTTTGCTTCCAGGCCAGGTGGCGCAAGTGGTAAAGAATCCACCTGCCAAAGCAAGCGACATGGGTTCAGTCCTCAGGTCAGGAAGATCCCCTGGAGGAGGAAACGGCAACCGACTGCAACATTCTTGCCTGGAGAATCCCATGGACGGAGGAGCCTGGCGGGCTACTGTCCATGGGGTGGCAAAGAGTCTGATACAACTGGGTCAGAGCTCACCACAGCAGGAGACATACCGGGGCAGGGTCCCTTCCTCTGGGTGCTGCATGGCTAGGAGGGAAGGGGTATGTCTGTTCTCCAGCAGCTGAGGTCAGTGATCACACAGCCAGGTGGAAAAAAGGCAGGGGCTGACTTCCCTGGCAGTCTAGTGGTTAAGACGTAAGCTTTCACTGCTGTGGACCCAGGTTCAATCCCTGGTCAGGGAATTAAGATTCCACAAGCTACGTGGTGCAGAAAAAAAAAAAAAAAGCAGGGGCAGCCAATAGGGCTAAATATCGCCCACTTTCCTGAGGTAGAGTCTGGATGAACTTGGCAGCTACCAGCCTGCTAGTCTGCAAGGTCTGATGAGCGGGAGCATGATTCCAATAGAAACAATAGAACAAGACCCAAGACCTAGGTCTAGACGTTCCCTCCACCTGGGCAGGTGCCTGAACATCTTTGTACCCCAACTCATCTGGAAAGGAGCGAGGACTGCAAGAAAACAGACCCTTCCCTGGGGGTGGGGTGACCATCGGCTCCTGGGACGGGGGTGGGGGGACCCCCTTGCAGACAGCTGAAGCATCACATCACTTCCCCTGGCACAAGCAGAGGCCAGAAGGGGCACCGGGCACCGGCTGACCTGAGAACAGCCTGCTTCCCAGGCCCATGTCTGGGAATTTTCTCTTTCCAAATATGAAGGAAATAAAAATAGGGAGGCAGGGAGGCCAAAATATGCTTGCAAAAACCTAAGTCTGGCTTTGACACGCCTGCTCCCACCATCTCAAGGCTAAGAATAATGGAAGGAGCTGGAACTCCTGGCTGGCTCCCAGGGAGTGAGAGCACTTGGATTCGTGAGTTCACAGTTATCTGTGCCACACTAGGCCCTCTGGAGCTAGTCAGAAGTGTCAGGAGCCTTCAGAGAAATGAATGAGTGGCTGATTAAGAAATGCAGCTGCTGACAAGCTGGAATTACCTCTAAAAAACACTGCAAAGCATTTCAGCGATAGAAACACAGTCCACAATAGGCCAGTCCAGAGAGCAGAGATGGCCACTCAAGGCTGAGCCCCGGCAGTGGCCCAGGTGGACAGCTTCCACCCAGCGGGACCCTTGGGACAGGACCACAGGGAAACTCAAGAACAAACAAAAATGAACCATGTTCAGCTTGTCACTCAACTATCTTAAACACCTGGGTTTTCCTGTGACATCTTGTCATGGGTTGAGTTGTACAACCCCCACCCCTCCCCAACTCATATGTTAAAGTCTTAACCATTAATACCTTCCAATGTGACTGTATTTAGAGATAGAGTCTAAATACCATAGAGTGGTAATTAATTTAAAGTGAGGTCATTAGAATGGGCCCTAGTCCAATATGACTCGTGTCCTTGTAAGGAGAGGAGATTACAGACACAGAAACATACAGAGGGAAAACCATGTGAGGATGCAGGGGAAGATGGCCATCTCCAAGCCAAGAAGAGTGGTCTTGGAAGGAACCAATCCTGATGACACCTGATCTTGGACTTTCAGCACCTGGAACTGTGAGAAAAGAAATTTCTGTTGTTTAAGCCACCCAGTCTGTGGCACTTTGCATGGCAGCCCAGGCAGACAAATGTACACCCAGTTTGCTTGTTCTGTGTGTTTAACGAAAGCGAACTGATTTGTTGTAAGGAAAACAGAAGGGATGTGAGAGCCGATGTCACTCATCACAAGCCCAGCCTCATAGATGGGGAAGGGACTCAGTTCTCTGGAGTCCAGGAGGACTGAAGAAAGGGGCAGGTACTGAGTGACAGTCAGGCCTTAGGATAAGCTCTTCACATTCGTAAACCCCACGGAAACTCTGAGAAGCAGGCATTGTTATCCCCATTTCACACATGGGGAAGACAGTCCCTAAAGTTGGTCATATATATTCAGTGGCAGAAGGGAGATAAAAATCTGCGATGGTCTGACTCCAAAGATTATGCTCCTCCCTCCAACCAGAACCAATGAAATAAATTATGGGAGGCAGGTATCCCCCTAATGATCGAGTTCTCTAACAGTGAGAATGAATACCACTTAGCACACATGGTAGGACGTACCCTAATTAGAGGCATGCAGGCAGGGGATTCAGTTTCCAGTCACACGTGTCTGCTCCTACACAGCCTGGTTAGGTCACACTCTTACACACACACCTCTCACTGCCCTGACTCGCCACGCACCCAGGAGATGGTCTGAATCACTGAAAGGTGTAACTTAAAAGTGCACTCCCAAATGGTTCCAGTCTGTCACTGTGGGAGGTGTCACTGCTGGAAATCCTCAGGGAAGGGAGCTGGGTTGGATGTTCCCAAACACTCTTCTAAACCCTGAAAGCCCTCAGCTCTTGAACATCTATGGAGCTTTGACAGGACACACAGCACTCTGGCTCCTCACCTCCAGAACATTCCCCAGAGCCGAGGTCAGGGTATCCACCGGATCCTCAATGAACCTCAACCCCTTCTTGCACAAACATAACAAAGGTCTGGCTAAAAAGAGCAGCGGAGGATGCCCAGAAATGCCCTGGGTAGATCGAAACCAAGGCCCCAGGAGGCTGGACTAAAAGTTTGCTGTGTTTATTCTCACTTGATCAGATCCAGGAAGAAAAGTGGAGAAGAGCAACTGGGCTGGCAGGTTGGCAACCCGTCCCCCCCACCATGTGCCCCCCACCATCTTGTTCCAGCTGAGGCAGGACAAGCCGTTCTGACATCATGACCCTGCCAAGGAGCTGATGACAAAGGCCGAGCTGATGACTCCAGGCCCTGCAGCCCTCTGGTTCCAGCTGGGGTCACTTAGGCCCCCATGGAAGCCCAGCCTGGCCCTGGGGCGAAGGGCAGGCGCCCAGCCAGCAGCACACGGGCTCAGTGCCCAGCCAGCAGGGCCACTCGTCCCCTGCTGATCCAAGGCCTGGTGCCGATGATGTGCATCGCCCTCCATCCACTTCCCTTTCCTGCTTTCTCCCTCCCTCCTATTTCCTTCAACCTGAGCACCTTCATCCTCTCCAGTTCTCTCTAGCGCTTGCTCCAGGGAAAGGAGACTCAAGTCTGGACTGGCAGCCCCCTTGGCAGAGAAATTTCACTATAGGTCTCAGCTGTAACTTCTACAAGGAAGCTTTCCTGACCCGCCAAGACTGGGTTTCAGGCTATTCTGCTGCGTCCCAAAACCCTTCTCTCTCTCTCTTTAGTCACTAAGTCATGTCAAACTCATGATCCCATGGAGTATAGCCTGCCAGGCTCCTCTGTCCATGGTATTCTCCAGGCAAGAATATTGGAGTGGGTTGCCATTTCCTTTTCTAGGTAACATGTATGGCATTGTCTTGAATTATCCATTTACTTACCCTCTGCCCTACCAGAATGTAATCACCTTAAGGGTTGAAACTGTCTTTTTTTACCATTATATTTCTAATACCTGGCATAAGAGAGAAACTCAAGCAGCATTGGTTGAATCAATGGATGGAGACAGATGGAACTTTTAAGGGATACGGAAGACCTCTCCACCTAAGACAAAGCCCATCCTCATTAAGTTCTACTTCAGAGGGCCTTTGGGAATGTTCAGGAAGATACTGATCTTGATAGGAGAGACTTTATCCACGGATCGAAAGATGCCCTCCCCAGCCTACAGAGGGGAGGGAGACAGAGCAGCTTCGGGGTCTCCTGCCTGGGAGGGAAAAGCCAGCAGCTCCAGGTACCTGATGACGAGAGAGAGGAAAATGGACACAAGAGGAGATTGTTAGCACTAGTTCATGTGCTCCAACATATTAAAACATTGGAGTTTGGAGCAGAAAAAGGATTACTGCAGGACCATGCAAGGAGACAGTGGTTCATGCCCTTAAAAAAAAAAACCCCAAGCTCCCAGAAGGGTTTCAGCAAATCACCTGGTGGTGGAAGGTGGGGGGTTGCAGGGTATGTCATCAGTTTGTACACGGATTCTGCCACTGGCTGATGGTGAGGTAGCAGGGTGATGTTAGAGCTTAATATTATCAGTTCCTAGGCTCCAGGAGGCCTGTGGCTGTGCTCATGGTCATCAATTAGCTAACATCTTTCATTTGGTGGGGGGTTTTCACATCTGCAAAACAACTCAGGATATTGGCATCAAATATTACTATCTGGGTATTTCAGAGAGAGCCTAAAGCAACATATGTGGGGAGGGTCCCATGGGGTCCAGCTCCTTTACAGGATGGAGGCAAGGTGAGTCCTGCAAGCCCAAGGATGGGGAAGACCCAGAGCCAGCCCCCTGACCCCAGGCTCTGCCCACACGAAGCTCTCAGACGCACAAATGAATATTGACTGAGGATATTTGTAGCGATATCATATTTGTCTTTTCTCTGTCTGACTTACTATACTCAGTATGACAATCTCTAGGCCCATCCATGTTGCTGAAAATGGCATTATTTCATTCTTTTTATGGCTGAGTGATATTCTACTGTATACATACCACATCTTTATTGATTCATCTGTCGATGGACATATAGGTGGCTACCATGCCTTGGCTACTTGGCTATTGTAAATAGTGCTGCAGTGAACACTGTGCTGTATGTACTTTTTCAAATTATAATTTTCTCCAGATATATGCCCAGTAGTGGGATCGCTATTTCATATGGTAGCCCCCTCTTCAGTTTTTTAAGGAATCTCAATACTATTCTCCATGTGGGCTTTCCCTGGAGGCTCAGTGGTAAAGAATTCACCTGCCAATGCAGGAGACATGGATTTGATACCTGATCGGGGAAGATCCCACATGCCATGCAGAAACTAAGCCCATGCGCCCCAACAATTGAGCCTGTGCTCAAGAGCCCGGGAGCCAAACTACTGAAGCCTGCATGCCCTAGAGCCTGTGCTTCACAACAAGAGATGCCAGTGCAATGAGAAGCCCACACACCACAACTAGAGAGCTAAAGAGCAACCCCTGTTCACCGCAAATAAATAAAAGCCACTGCAGCAATGAAGACCCAGCACAGCCAAAAATAAATAAATAAAATTATTCTTTCAAATACTAAAAAACAAAGCTTTTTACCTTCTTCTGTGGGATTCCCTGGTAGCTCAGTTGGTAAAGAATCCACCTGCAATTCAGGAGACCCCAGTTCGATTCCTCAGTCGGGAAGATCCACTGCAGAAAGGATAAGCTGCCCACTCCAGTAATCTGGCCTGGAGAATTCCATGGACTGTATAATCCATGGGGTTGCAAAGAGTCAGACACAACTGAGAGACTTTCACTTCTTTACTTTCTTCTGCAGTTACTTTCTTGACCTGTTATGGTGTCTTGTTTTGCTTTTTAATTAACTTAATTTTCTTGTTATAGTCTTTGATTTACAGGGAAAAAAATGGTGAAGATGATACAGAGTTCCCAGTTTCCCTTATTATTAACATCTTATGCTGCTGCTGCTAAGTCACTTCAGTCATGTCCGACTCTATGCGAACCCACAGACAGCAGCCCATCAGTCTCCGCCGTCCCTGGGATTTTCCAGGCAAGATCACTGGAGTGGGTTGCCATTTCCTTCTCCAATGCATGAAAGTGAAGAGTGAAAGTGAAGTCACTCAGTTGTGTCCGACTCTTAGCGACCCCATGGACCGTAGCCTACCAGGTTTCTCCATCCATGGGATTTTCCAGGCCAGAGTACTGGAGTGGGGTGCCATTGCCTTCTCCGAACATCTTATGCTAGGATGGTGCAATTGATACAAGTAATGAACCAATACTGATACACTATCATTGACTAAAGTTCACACTAGATTCAAATTTTCTTAGTTTTTACCTAACGACTTTTTCTAGGCAAGGGTCCTATCCAGGACACCACAGCACCTTTATTCATCGTATTTCCTTAGGCAACACTTGCTGTGACTATTTCTCAGACTTTCCTTATTTGGACGTCCTTGACAGTTTTGAGGAGTGTTGGTCAGGTATTTGGTAAAATTCCCTCTATTGTGATTGGTTAGATGTTTTTCTCTTAATTAGACTGGGGCCATGGGTTGTTGAAAGGAAGATTGTAGAGGTAAAATGTCATTTTCATCACATCATCTGAAAGGGGCGTGCTATGCACAAGACTTATCACGGTTGGTGTTGACCTTGATCGCCTGACTGATGCCATGCTCGTCAGATTTCTCCACCGAGAAGGGACTCTACTTTCTCCCCTTTTCCATACTTCTCTCTCTAGAGGGAAGTCACACATACAGCCCACACTTACAGGGTGTAGAGGTAGGTACCACCTCCGCCAGGGTGGAGTATCTGTGTAAATAATTTGGAATTGTTCTGTGAGAAGGTTTGTCTGTTCTTCTCTATTTTAAAAATATATAGATTTATCTATTTGGCTGCATCGGGTCTTAGCTGCAGCTCTTGAGTCCTTATTGCACCATGCAGGATCCTCCGCCGTGACACATGGACTCTCAGTTGCCATCTGCGGGCTCAGTTGCTTCAAGGCATGTGGGATCCCAGTCCCCCAATCAGGGATTGAACCCACATCCCCTGCATTGCAAAGCCAACTCTCAGCCACTGGACCTCCAGGGAGGTCCCTGTCCATTTATTTTTATATACAGTCATGTATTCATACCAGCATGAGCTCATTGATACTTATTTTATACTTGGTTTATAATCCAATACTGCTTTAGTTTCTTGCTCAGATTGTTTCTTTTCCGATTGTTTCTTAACTTCCATGCTCCTTTGATATACTAAACAATGCTCTCCTGCACCCTGGCTCCCTTTCCATC